AAGCAAACTACCCACAAGAAATTAAAATGAAAAAGAAGAAAGCAAGAGCACTATGAAAAGAACCCTCTAGATGTTTTTTGGTTGAAATAAGTAGTAGTAATATTTACTGCCGAAGGTTGTGGTACTCCTCCATCTTTGCTAAAGGTCTCGGGTTCAAGTTCTGGATACGAAGTTGCTTTTGATAAAGAGTGTTTTACCTTCTGAAATTAGATTTTAAAAAAAATTTAAATTAGTCGGGCTTCAAAACTGATACAAAGAAACAAAAATAGTAGTAACATTATGAAAAGGGATAAATAATGAAAAATTAGTGAGATCTCCAATGGTTTGTGGAATATGGGGACTCCATTAGCTAGTACGTATGTGCCAGCCATACACGTACCCATCAAAAAGATGATTTTTTTTTTTTTTTTTTTGTTTATGCATCTATTAGTGTAATTCTCTGAAGAAAAGTCACGATTTTTATTCATTACACTCTTCACTTATAAAGTATGATTCTAGAGTCTAGACCCCTTTATTCTTTCACTATCTTCATAAAGTTGATAAAGAGCTCCATGCATAAGATTTATATAATATTCCCATGATTCATGAACTAAAAAGCAAAGTCACATGTTAGAAGTATCTTTCTTTTGTAGTATTTTTTTTTTGTCTTAAAAATTTTTTGAAGTGAGGCTAGGCTTATAATTGTGGAAAATGAGAAGACAAAAAAGGGATACTTTAGTGAAATTATAACTCTATGCTTAACTCGAATACTCCACCTTTAAAAGTTAGGTAGACTAATAATCACCAGAATGCAACTCAAATCCTCCACCTCTGAAAGTTATATGGTATCTATCAAAAATTATTTTCTTTTTGGAAAAGCTTAACTACAAAAAGACCGATTAAATTGCCACTGAAATGACATAAATCATTAAAATAAACAAATTTGATTTTCGTTTAACACCCTCCTTAATAGAGTATTAATCAATAAAATAAAGTAAAACTCCCAAGGGACATCCTTGACTATTATCTTATCTTTTGTACTAAAAAAAAGGTGAGAATTGGTGGTGAAATTAAAACGTTACACCTAAGTAACGTTGATGAAGAAATAGCCACCAAGCTGCAACTCAATTCTCTCTAAAATATGTAGAAATGACATGGGGTAGCCACTATTTAAGGTGGTATTTAGTTTTTATCCAGCAATTTTAATGTTGAGCAAAAATAGCCACTACCCTATTAAAATTAATATGAAAAGACATTTTTACCCTTTCTTCCCTTGCTTTTCTTCCCAAACCCTCAGGGATGGATGATGTACGCTCCACTACCATCATCTACCATGATGGTAGTGGCTATTAATTTTATTATCATTCTGTTACCACCAACTACATTTTCTTCTTTCTAGCTTATGTTGTTGTTGTGTCATCATTGATCTTGACAGATATTTGAACTTTTCACTTTCCATTTTCACAAAATTCTGTAGATTGTTCGTTGCGACCTCTAATCTTTTTTTTGGGGATTGACAGGCATTTGAATGTTAATTACAGATATAGAGTAACAGTAAACAGGGCTATGACTTTCTCTTAATTGTGGCATAGTTTGGTATAGAAAACTGTAAAAGCAATGGAAAGTGCTCGCTTGTATAATGTATTTGAAACTTCCAATCATAGCTGGACGGTTTTTCTGATAATTTGTCTGTTTATTATACCATGGATTACTGGAGAAGGTTCGTTACTTTTATATATATTTGTTAAACTGAGAATGGATTGTTGCTAATGATTTATTACTTTCAAAGTCCCCTTTTTCTTTTTCATCGTATGAATTTAGAATTGGATAATATAGTTTAACTAGCTTATTTATACTTTACAGAGTGCAATATGTGTTTTACNTGCCAAGGACCTCGAAGAACTTCTCACCCTTCCCATCTCACCTGGCCGTGATGTTCAAGGATAGTGATAATTATCATTCGAGAGATTAGATCTTCTCGTGTGCAGACTACTAAGAAATACATAAATAATTGCAATTATTTTTGCTCATACAGACAAGCAACTAAATCGTCATCACTTGTATTTTCATTAGACTAGTAATGAAAAGGTTATGTAGATTTGTCTTATCAATGTTGCATCCAAGCCAAATCTGACATCAATCTTATATGTAAATTGCAATTATTATTATTTTTTTTTGTGAAAAGATACAAATAACGTTTGGTTTTCTGCTACGTTATTGATTCTGAACGAACAGTTACAAGTTCAAAAGTTAAGGACAATTGGTCCTTAACTTAGAGTTCCAAGTTCAAAAGTTAAGGACACTTGGTCCTGAACTTAGAATTACAAGTTCAAAAGTTAAGGACACTTGGTCATGAACTTAGACTAACAAGCTCAAAAGTTAAGGACAATAGGTCCTGAACTTACAGTTACAAGTTCAAAAGTTAAGGACAATAGGTCCTTAACTTTGATTTCCAAGTTCGAAAGTTAAGGACAGACAGTCCTTAACTTACAGTTACACGTTCAAAAGTTAAGGACAAGCAGTACTTAACTTACAGTTACAAGTTCAAAAGTTAAGGACAATAGGTCCTTAACTTTGACTTACAAGTTCAAAAGTTGAGGACACTTGGTCTTGAAGTTTGAGTTCCAAGTTCAAAAGTTAAGGACATGTAGCCTTGAAATCCTGAACTTAGAGTTCCAAGTTCAAAAGTTAAGGATATGTAGTCCTGAACTTAGAGTTACAGGTTAAAAAGTTAAGGACATGTAGTCTTGAAGTCCTGAACTTAGAGTTTCAAGTTCAAAAGTTAAGGACATGTAGTCCTGAAGTCCTGAAGTTAAGGATATGAGCAGAAGGGTATTTTCGTCCGGGAAGCTAAAGTTTATTAAACCAGTGGCTAAAGACTAAAGACATTTAAAACACTGGCTTTAAAATAAAGACAAGAGCTGTTAGTGACTATTTGTGCACATCGCCCCTAAAATATTGAAATATGATAATTGTCAGTATTTATTTAATATGGAAAAAGAACCACATAACGAGACCAAATTAAATTGCTTGTAAAATGATAAAAATTTGAAATCATACAAATTTAATTTTATTTGATGAATGCTAATCATGAGAGTGCTTCATTGAAAAAGAAAAAGAAATTTCCAAGAATCATGTATATCTTGTCGTTATTTTCTGTCAGTTATTACGTTGCTTTATTTGCAAGTTTAACCTACAAGAGATCGCTAAGTTTGATTGCTAATGCTGAAATGTTAATTGTTATCTTTCAGTTTTACGAAACAGGCACCTATTACAGAATCAAAATTCTTGAAAAATAAAGCTTTCGGTCAGTCAGTTTTGATTTATGGATAGCTATTAATGGATTAAACGTATTGTAAACGCAACAATTTTCGTGGGCAGATAAAATCAAAGACGGTGATTTAAACAAAGGAATATAAAATTTGACACAAATGTGAAGGATTTTTCAAGCCGTCGTGTAAATCTAATCCATGAGAAAGCCAATAGGAAAGCCCTGCACGTCCACTTCAGATTGATAATCCCTTCTTTTTTTCATTTTTTATAATGGTGATGTCTAAGCGAGCTTGCATGCATCCTCACAATTCCACTAAATATTTATTATCTTCCATCAATATATATCAAGCTCGAGGTGTATATATCAAGCTCGCTCACCTCGACTATTCTTTCGAGTACTTATTACTACATCTCATCAATACAAATAACGAATAACTTTGTCCATCAAAGTTTAGACAAATAAAAATATTGTCCAACGGTTTTTGCCTTTGTGTACTTTTAGAGCCCGTTTGAACATAAGATTTTTCTCAAAAAAAATTCACATTTTTTTGGAAATCAGTGTTTGGCCATAAATTTTCCAATTTTCACTTGAAAATGAATTTTGAAATTTCTCAAAAATTTGAAAAACTCAAAAAAACAGAATGGTTTTTCAAATCACTCACAAAACTTCAAAAACAACCCAAAATTATTTTCATGTCCAAACACAACTCTAATTTTCAAATATTAAAAAAATCACTTTCTTTGGAATTTTAGAATTCTTATGTCCAAACACCCACTTAATCTCCCATGATTTTACCCTTCCTTGCGTGCCACTTCAATTTGATAATTTCCTTTTTTAATTTAAATTCACAAATGGACCAGGAGTTGATCAACCAAAGGATAGGATAGGTCAACTGCATTTTATACTATGGACAACTATCATCCAACTTAAGACACCAAAGATGACAATGAAAGGATAGCTAAACGATAGGCACGACCTAATAAAAATTGGCATAGAAACAACATTAGTTTAATATTAGAGCCCTGCCTTATCAGGTAATCCTATGTCATTTTCAGCTTCATTATTTCTCTCGTCTTCTTTCTTCAGCCAGCTTTTTCTTTCTGGCTATTGTTATTATCTAATTATTTCCTTGATCTTCATGGATGAGTATAACAATTTTTCCTCTTATTAATGAATATTCTGTTGCCAAGATAGTCATACAAAGAAAGATTTCTGAGAATCTGTTTGTTTGGTTTTTCATTTTTCTGGATAAACAGCTGCTTTGTTTTCCATAAAAAGAAATGCCAAAAAAATATTTTCCAAGAACAAATAATTCAATGCACAAAAACCAATTCTTCCAAAACCAAAAACTAAGATACCAAACCCTTTATAATCTATATTTTACCAAATCAATCCATTTATCAGCTTAAATACAGAAAGGAGACCAAGATAGTGAGATAAGAGCATGACAAACTGAATTCAATCAAATTTAAGTCAAAGCCTCAGAACTAGCACACATCTTGTTCATAATTGTATGCAGTTGGTTCACTTCACCAAAAATATACTTGTAGCTTGCTACTAGCACAACTCAAATTCATGAAGTGAATTTTAAGCGTTTTTCGTCTAAAGCAACCAATCAAACCTACCATATGATAGCTACAAATTCTTCAGCAGCTTAAAATGAGTTTTATTATCTTTTAGTACATAACTCAAAGTTCTTGGTAGAGCAAGAGAATTACAAAGCATTAGACGGCGTAGTCTCAAGAAAGAAGGAACCAAGATAATTAAATGAGGCATTGGTCAATGATCAGAATGGAGTTAGTTTACACTACAGAAACGAGCATCACTTAAACGACGACCTGAAGAAAATACAGATATTACAAAAACAGATGAGTCGTGCTATTAGGATTACAGAGCACCCAGCATAAGACTCCCCCCCACAACCATTAGTCTCTATTCTCTTCAGCCCATTCTCTCTTCCTCTCAACCACTACCCTCACTAACCATGCACAAATTGAACATATATCCATCAATAGAATACAGTGGAAAAAGATCAAAGCACTAAGATAAAGAACATAACAATGAAATGGAAAATGAAAAGGAAAATAATGTATACGTGGCAAAATCAGTAAGGAGCGTAGTAGTACCCTGCCGCAGGTGGTAATCCGACACCATTTACTGGTGGCATGCCATAAGGCATCGCAGCTGTTTGTGGACCATAATATCCGCCAGTGTTGATCTTGGACAAACTCGTTTGGCCTTGCATACCTTCTCTAGCATATTGCTGCCATACGACTTGCTCCTGTACAAGCAATTGCTGTTTCTTCTCCAAATCCGCCATTTGTACATATGAAGGAGGTGGAACAGTCAAAGATGCAGCAAATGGATCCTGTCCAACTGCCTGGACCGTTCCATCGGGTGCAGGGAGTGCCAAAACTGGCGTTGCACTCTTCCCTGGCCCGGGTAATGCCACACTGCTGGCACTACCTCCACTCAACTGGGCAGTGGAAACATGCTGCCTAACCATCCCTTGATCATACATGCCATTCAACAGTAGTGGATCAAGTCCACCGCCCAATGCGGCCTTCTGATTAGACAGGTGACTAGCTGTCTCCACCAAAGCCAACTCCCAATCAGCCTTACCTATCTCAGCCGCAGGATTCTGCCAAGCAGAGGTCACCTGAGTTTCCCCATTGCCGGGGAACGCTTCCCACGACCCATTGTTTGTTCCAGGCCCTGCAAACAATGCCAAGGCAAATTTATTTCCCTGATCATCGGCAGTAACACCCTCCTCCCTCAAATCCACCAAATCCCCAGTCTCCTGAACCACTGGCTTAGGAGGCTCCGGTTCAGGAGGTGGTGGAGGAGTATACTCCTCCGGTGCAGGCAACGCTTTAATCTCATTCATATCAGGAGCTGGTTCTTCTGGTGGAGCTGGTAGAGCCTCAACTTTCCGCTCGGGACTTTTTGTCGCCTTAGCCCTGTCCCTCACAAACTCCTCTAATGTATCCAATAGCTTGCTTGTTATCCTCTGAACTTCTGGATACTCAGACGACCTAGCCACACCAATATCCTTACACCAGTTGAAGAATCCCACTAGCTCATCGATCTGCTTTGCTGCACTAGCATAGGCATCAAATGCCTTAACGCAATCCTGGTACTCCATGTCAAAGAATTTATCCAACAAAACAGCCAAAACCTCACATATATCAGCATAAAGCTGGAAACTTTCTTTCACCATAGGATACAAAGCAACCAATACCATCCTTTCATTTTTCGCCAATCCAGTTGGTCGACAAGACAAAAACCGATCCAACAACCGCTGCAAATGAGTCATCTTCCCAAAGATCTTCTCAGGGTTCATCTCTCTTAATGGGGTCACATCTTTCCGCTCCTGTGTTGACTCTCTCACATCCCCAGATGATCGCGACTTCCTCATTCCGTAAGCAGGCTCATCCCTGAACTCACCATAATCATAACCATTGCCTCGGTTAGAGCTAGGAGGAGATCTCCACCTTTCTTCTCTAGAACCATATCTCTCAATCTCTCCACCAGTACTCCCATTTTGCTTCCTCTCAAAAACCATCAACTCCAATCTTTGATCCAAATACAAAGCATAAGTCCTTACAAAAGCCGAATGATCCCACGAATTTGAATGAGCCTCATCGCGAAAATCAGACAAATTGAGAAGCCTGGTGCCTCTCCTCGTGGCATACATGATCTCTTGCTGAAACACAATATCACCATCATTGAGAAGACGGTGAATGAGCATCAAACACTTGATGGCAACAATCCAATCGCGGGTTTTGCCTAACCTTCTGGAAATCAACGAAACACAAGCACTCACATAGCCACGAGAGACCGAAGTCAAGTGAAGAATCTCCCTGATGTACTTCTCGCTCGCAGGTTCATCATCATGGCTTGTAGCCTTAACAATAGCAACTTCCAGCTCCGGCGCCATGTTGCTGGCTACTTTCGCGAGCCCTATGCTCGTCTGATCCTTCACTGCCCCGATCGCCTTTCGAATCGTGGTCGGCGCCATGATATATAGCACAACAGAGATTTCAGATTTCTTCCCTTTTTATTGCTTCTATAAAATCAAAAAAAATCAAAGGTCACAACTTTACACCATTATGAAGAACTAGTATACTCATAATAATGGCAAATCCAATAGAGAAATAATATGAATAGTCTATATAAGTTGGAGTCAATTATATCAGTCCTCTATATCCATTTTCCATTCTATCCAGAAAAAAAATCAATTCTGTTGACTTGAAAATAGAAGTTTCTATATTTGCTCCATTAAATTCAAATACCATAAACTACAACCAGAACACAAAAGATCAAGAACTAGCAAAATCACAACTTCTTGACTTGAAAGTATTAAGTTTCTATATTTGGGTCAATAAATTCAAGAATCTTAAACTATACCCAGAACAGAAAAATCACCAGCAAAAATAGAAAAAGATTAATGGAAATTGAAATAGGTTGAAGTACATACACACCAGAAAAAAGGCTGTAATGCACAGATCTGTGAAATGGGTATGTTTTAAAGCGTTGCCGACAAATCGTGGCCGGAAGTCTCTCTCTTTATTCTCTCTCTCTCTCTCTCTCTCTCTCTCTCTCTCTCTCTCTCTCTCGNTAATTAGTAATCTCATAAAAATAAATAATTAATATTCTTTTACATATTAATATTAACCGATTGCTTTCCTTGAACTAATGGTCTACCTGAAATCAGAGGCGAATTCAGGATTTAAACTTTACGGGTTCAGATTCACAATTCTACTAGTACATATCATCTTATTTAATGGGCTCAAGATTTATTATTTGTATATAATTAATAATTTTTTGGACAAAAATAAAGGGTTGAGTTGAACTCATAGCTTCTACACTAGATACGCCTCTGCCGGAAACAACCTATCTATTGGCACAGGACATGTGTAAGGTCTGCGTACACACTATCTCCGGCCTCACTTGTGGGATTATACTGAGTTTGTTATTTTGTTGTTGATATTAATATTAAGTTATTAACAATAATATAAAAAATCTTACACTATCATTATATGTAACTTAAATTTATTTCTTTTTCAGCCATATGAGTTTGATAAAGTGGTTTTAAGTCGAATGAAAAGGATTTTAATAAGTTGATTGTTATGGTAAAAGAATATTCTAAAATATTCATACAGTCCAAGTGCAATTGCAGTTTAACTAGAATTGAGGCGCATTTGATGGCTTGACATATTGCTTTTCTAGTCTTCAAAAGCTATAGAATTTTGGCTACGTGTTGGATATGTTATATTCACCTTTCTAATGTGTTTGTGGTTTATTCTTTTTTCTTTTTTTGCTAATTCAAAGTCATTTACTTAATTTAATTAGAAAATGAAATTAAAGAGTGTTTGTCTACTCACATGGTTGCCGGCCAACGGAGTAAAATAATTGATCAAGTCCTAACACCACGTAAAAACCTTGTATATATTACTTGTCGAGGCTGCGAATAAAGTCGCATATTAATAACTGTAAAGATAAGAAGTATAAGGTGTAAGGATCTTTTAATAGTGTGAGACCTTTTGCTGAAAATCGTGTGTGTTTAGTCCAAAGCGGATACTATCACACTATGTTAAGAGTATCTTTGGGCTTGTTGAGCCTAACAATTAGTATCAAACCCCAGGTTCGGCAGGACGAGTATGGTGACGACAAGGCGAAGGTGTGGGGCTTGATTTGCTTACCTGTACGAGCTTAGAGACGTGGACACATGAAAAAGCTAGTTGTGGGCTTCGGTTACTATAAATATTTTTGACAATGTGGGTGGCATACAATGAATCACGAATATTGACATGTGGATCGTAGTAATGGATCACGTGGAGCTGAAAAGTTTGAGAGTCCACATATAAAGTATAGAGATCTTGAACTGATCTGTGCTAGACCGCCATGCAAGCAAGATCTCAAGCATCAGTAATGGGGAAATAAGAGAGAGAGAGAGAGAGAGAGAGAGAGAGAGAGAGAGAGAGAGAGAGAGAGAGAGAGAGAGAGAGAGAGAGAGAGAGAGAGAGAGAGAGAGAGAGAGAGAATCTGATGCTCTCATTTTCTGTGTAATGAAAAACTGTACAGGACAAACTATTTATACTAACAGCTAACTCACTACTAACCATCTAACTAACTCACATTACCAACTTAACAAACTTCCTAACTATAATTAACTATACAACTAACTATTACATGATTCTCATGTGCCTAGTCTCCAATTGTCTCAATACTCCCCCTCAAAACTGGTAGGTGGAAAGATGTTGTGCACTCCCAGTTTGGACATCAAAAATTCATGTTATTGTCTTGCAAGCCCCTTTGTAAGGATGTCTGCAAGTTGATCTGTTGACCCTACGTGCATCGTTTTGATCAGCTCCTTTTGAATCTTCTCTCTAATGAAATGACAATTTATTTCAATGTGCTTTGTCCTCTGATGATACACAGGATTTGCTTCTATCAGTAGTGCAGCTTTGCTGTCACAATGTACCAAAATTGGCAACTCAATTTCTGCTCCCAGCTCCTTGAATACTCCTTTTAATCATATTAATTCTGAAACCACTGAAGCCATGCTTCTGTACTCTGCTTCTGCTGAGCTTTTTGACGTTGTATTCTGCTTATTTGATTTCCATGCAACTAATGAATATCCATGTTTCACAATGAAGCCTGTTACAGACTTCTTGTATTTGGACAAGATGCCTAATCAGCATCACAAAAAGCAGTCAATGTGTTCTTCTTATTGCTGCTCATTTCCCAATCATGGTTCCTTTTTCACATACTTAACTACTCTTATGGCTGCTTCCCAGTGTGACTTCTTTGGATTTTGCATAAACTGGCTAGGTGTCTGTACAACAAAAGCAATGTCTAGCCTTGTCAATATGAGATATAATAACTTCTCAATCAACCTCTGATATTTTCCCTTATCTTCCAATAATTCATCATTGTTTGATCCTGCAACCTCATCTAGCTCAGTAGTTGTGATCTTTTGGTTGCAATCCAATGGTGTCCAGCTTGGCTTAGCTGCACTTAAGCCCATTTCTGATATAAGCTCCAAACTATACTTTCTCTGATTCATCATGATTCCTCTATGAGATCTACAAAAATCAATTCCCAAGAAATACTTCAACTCACCCAAATCCTTCAGCTTGAAGGTCTGATGCAACTGCTTCTTGGTTTCTTCAATGAGTGTTAAGTCATTACCAGTAATCAGCATGTCATCCACGTAAACTAGAATGACTACAACTTTACTGTCCTGCTTCTTAGTAAATAAATAATAGTCTAGGGAGCTTTGCACAAAACCTTGAGACACCAAAGTTTCAGTAAGTTTTACATTCCACTGCCTGCTTGCTTGTTTCAACCCATAAAGGGATTTGACAAGCCTACACACCTTGCCTTCATTCTCCCCCTGGCTGACAAATCCCTTGGGTAGCTTATGTACACCTTATCATAAAGGTCCCCTTGAAGGAAAGCATTATATACATCCATTTGGTGTATATGCCACCCTTCAGTAGCTGCAACAGAAATCACAGCTCTAACTGTAACCTTTTTCACCACTAGTAAAAAGGTTTCATTGTAGTCTAGGCCTTCTTTTTGGCTATATCCCTTAGCTACCAACCGTGCCTTGAACCTCTCAACATGCCTATTGGCTTTGTACTTCACCTTATAGACCCATCTACAGCCTATGGGAACTTTCCCTGCTGGTAATGTCACTAACTCCTATGTCTTGTTGTATTGTAATGCTTGAATTTCTGCCTTCGTGGCTTCAATCCATCTCTTGTCTTTAGATGCCTCATGGAAAGTCTATGGTTGAGTGATAGCTGAGAAGGCTGTCAAGTAATGTTGATAAGCTGACTTCAATCTATCATAGGAAACAGAGTTGCAAATAGAGTAAGGTTTATTTGATAGATCTAGTGCAGTTCCAGTTAAAGGTGTTTAACGGGTGGGCCGGGCCTATATTTTTTGGACCCGTATGGGTTACGGTCCGGGCCAATTACGGGTTGGGTCTTAACGGGTTCGGGTTCATCCGGGTAAAAACTGAACCATAAGGGTTACGGGTTGAGGGGGCCGGGCCGGGCCGGGTTTAGTATAATTTTAATTTTTTTTTTTGTATTTTGTATAAATATTGTAAGTTATAGTATTAATACAAAGTACTAACATAAAGAATACAAGGAAGATGGGAAAAAATTGCACTTATAAATTGCAAGTGCTATATTTATTTCAAAATTACAAAATTAAAGTTCGCATTTAAAAAGTAAATTAACAAATAAATAGTAAACTAAATTTTCATGCATAATAAATTAATAATACTTCAAATTAATCTAACAAACTAAATCATTAAGCATAAATACGTCTAATAATTTAAAATAACACAAATTGTCTTAAAATCTTAAAATAACACATATATAGCATATTTTAAAAATAATATGTTACCATCATATTCTATGATTTGAGCATTTATAGTTTTATACCCTAAATATATACACTATATGTTAAATTCCAACAATTTTAAATTATGTTAATTAGTATACAATAATTGGTATATTCATGGTATATTCATGGTATATTTATAGTATATTGATAGTATATTTATGGTATATTCACGGTATATTCATGTTATATTCACGTTCCGGGCCGGTCCGCTTAACCGGTTTAACAACACTGTTCATCTAACGGGTTTTACCGGACCGTGTAACCCGTTTCAAAAATTTAAACCGTCCAAACCCACCCCAACCCTCTACCCAGCCCAGCCCAGCCCCCCCTTACCGGTCCGGGCCGGGTCCGGGTTCTACCGGTCTAGGCCGGTCCGGAACCGGGCTGACCCGGTCCGTTTAACACCCTTAGTTGCAGTCGCATAATCAGTCATCCATATTGGCACTCGTTTGTCTCTGGCAGACTTCCTAGGCCCATTTCCATCACTGCCTAGGACTTCATTGGCTATTTGTTTTGTCTCGTCTTGATTCAATTGTTAATGATCTGTTGGAGTTATGTCTTCCCCATTATCAACTATTCCTGCAACATCATTGAGGACAGTTTGTTCCTCAGTATTAAGAATTGGTGAATGAACTGGTGGAGAGACTTCTACATCATGTGTTGGAATGTCTATGTCTAAAAACATAGGCTGGTTCTCATGCTTCTTGAATTTGAAAGGAAAGAAAGACTCCTTAAAAACAACATCTCTGTTTATGAAGAAACATTGCTTAGACAAATCATACAGAACATAGCCTTTTGTAACTTCTTAATAGCGTATCAGAACTGTTGCTACTGCCCTAACTTCAAACTTGTCATGTATATTTATTCCCTTTGCAAAACACATACAACCAATAGTCCTTATATGCTCAATGTTTGGCTTCTTCTGATGAAATATTTCATAGGGACTTTTTCCTACTAATACATTTGATGTAGTCTATTAGTGACATAAATTGCTACTAACACACAGTGTCCCCAGAATTTCAAAGGTATATGTCCTTGGACCTCATGGCTCTTGCTATTTTTAGCACATGTCTGTGCTTCCTTTCAGCAATTCCATTTTGTTGATGTGTATTGACACAAGTCCTCTGATGAACAATTCCATTAGACTGAAAAAGTTTGCTACATGCCTCATTCACAAACTCTGTCCCATTGTCAGTCCTGATCACCTTAACTTGTCTATTAAACTAAGTTTACACTAACTTTATAAAATTTCTCAGCAAAACCAACACATCACTTTTCAATTTCAACAAATAAACCCAAGTTATTCTTGAATGATCATCAACAATTGTCAAAAATAACTTATTACCATCAAAGGTTTGCACAGCATATGGTCCCAATACATCAACATGCAGCAAGTGAAATACATCTTCAGCTCTACTACTGCTTGTGCTAAATGGCAATCTACAATGTTTAGCTAAAGGACACACACTACAATTGTCTATTTTTCCTTTACAATCATCATAGACTAATGAAAACAATTGCTTCAGTGCTCCCGCTGAAGCATGTCTAAGTCCTCTATGCTAGAGTTTAATGTCCAGTTCTATCTTCCTTACAGCCAAACCTTGAATTATTTCTTTAATGTTCCTAGTAGTAGTTTGTGGTAATAGGTAGAGGCCTCCCTTCTTCTTACCAATCACCTTCACCTTCCCACTACAACGATCCTGAAGTAGATAGAAATCGGGATAAAAAGTTGTACAACAGTTTAACTCCTTTGTGATCTTAGACACTGACAACAAATTATACTTGAACTCAGGTAAGTATAACACATTGTCAATTCTCCCTGCATTTTCTATATTATAAGACCCTATGTGTGTCACATTTGATACTTCTCAATTAGGTAAGTGTATCCTTTTTGTATGAATTCCAGCTACTTCTAATTTGTGTTCTAACATTTCCAAATTAGAGGTCATGTGATTTGTAGCTGTATCCACAATCCATTCATGATCATTACTATCAACAAAGTAAGCACTAATACTACCTGCCATATTAGCTGATGCTTCTAGCACATTCTCCTTGTTGAGCAGCTTAAGGATCTGATTGTATTGCGCTGCTGTGAAATGTGGGATTGGAGGGACTTTGAAAGCAAAGCATCTTAGCCTCTTCCTCCTGCAGCTTGTGGTCTGAAATCCCTTGTCATTGCATTGTGAGTTGTGTTGCCTCCAAACTTCTTCTTAAAATCATCAGGATATCCAATCAACTTGTAGCATCCTTCTCTACTGTGTCCTTTCATTTTGCAATAATCACATAACACATTGTAATTTCTTCTAGGTTTTTGGTTGTTGAATCCTTTTGTTGTTAATAGAGCTGTCATCTCAACATTTTCAGCAGGAACTACTGCATTTGCCATGCTTCTTTGGCTCTCCCTTTCCATCAACATAGAGTAAGCCTTGTTCACAGTTGGAAGTGGATCCATCATCATGATCTGCTCACGTGCTTGTTCATATGTCTCATTGAGCCCCATAAGAAATTGCAATAACTTCTGCCTACACAAGAAAACTTCATATTCACTTGACTTTGGGCAATCACAACCAGGAGCTGGTGCCAAACAATCAAACTCAGCCCACAGTTCATGCAACTTTGAGAAATAAGTTGCAATTGAACTTGTTCCCTGACTCGCAGTAGCCATAGCTCTGTGCAACTGAAGAATTCTAGATCCATTGACCTTATCGTATCTTTCCTTCAGATCCTTCCAAACAACACATGCATTTGAGGAATATACAATTGTCACACCTCTTTTTTTGCACACCTACCCCGAAGGATAATGTATAAAGGACTTTTTCTATTTAAAGTGACATTATTCGAAATGGGATTATTTATTTATTTTTAGAGTCGCCACTTGGGATAGGATTGGCTTTTGGTGTCCCAAGTCACCGGTTTAATTTGAATCCCAAATCGAGGAAAATTTCGACTTCCCAATTGGAGTCTGCGAACCAGAAATTCTGAATAAGGAATTCTGTTGACCCGAGGGAAGGTGTTAGGCACCCTCGGATCCCGTGGTTCTAGCACGGTCGCTTAAATTATTATAAATGGCTAAAAATCTGATTTTTATACATGTTCAAACCTATAGTGTAATTTTAGAATCATGTTACCACTTTTAGTTAAAAATTTTTAAAGAAAGTGAACGTCGTTTAAAAATGTGTTTTTGGATCACGTCACATGAAATGCACCCGTATCCTCAACACATTCTTATTCAACGTTTTGGGATTTGGATTTAGGTTGCATGAAATGCACACCCGAATTTAGGAAGGTAAGATTATTAAAGAACGCGCCTAAAGCGACTAGCGTATTATTTACTTTGCGGGCGGCCATGAAAATTCGCTAAACGGCACGTCCCGGTTTCTAAGTATTTTAATATGAGTATTTAGAGGGCCACGCAATTTATGAATTTTGTTTGGCGTGGCGCACCTCGTTTTATTTTAAAGGCCAACTTAAAGGAACTATGATTTTCTATTAAGTAATGTCTCTAAAAACCTAATTAATTATCACTATAACATTCGGGCCTCAAGTTCAAGTTCGAACTTAAACAAGAAGAAAACCTCTTAATTTAAATTCGCTACCTAACTTGGAAGGCCTAGAATTGCATTACAAAATTAATTTAGTGACTTTAAGCCTTCAGCCTATTGGGCTTCATAGCCAGCCCAAAAAAAAAAGAAATGCATTCAGCTTCCACAACTGGGCTTCAGCACCAGCCCAATTGTGAAGGTACTGGTCCATAGGCTAACGGGATTCGAATTGCTTACTAAG